AGTAAAATTGGGAGACCCTAGAATTTCATCTACTAAATTGGGAGGATATTAGAAGGCACAGATCTCTCCAAACAAGTCTTGTTCAGCAACTGAGCATAAGCGGACTTAGTACTGAACAGACCATCTCGAGTGAATTTCTAGTAAACAAAATCGTCTATTTCTTCTTATGGTCTTTCCATCCAATGAATTAAATCCGTCATAGGAGGAAAAAGCCGCCGGATACGAGTACTACCCCAGGCTTAAGAAATGGGATCAATTATCTATGACGCCTTGGAAGGAAGCTCGAAAGGAAGCTCTAAAATAGCCTATCCAAAACGTTCCGCGTTCCCCCTACTAGCTTCAAATCACCCCCTAGTTAGCTCCTCATGATTCCATGAAGGAACCAGAAAAAGATATATTGTGGAAACATATGGTCATCCCGACATCTCAATTATGCATACTCTCTCCATAGGGTTAAAATCCATGTCCCTCCACCAGCTGTTGACATCAGCCCTCTAAAGTATAAGAGTCTTTACTAGGGTTGTAATGTCATGGCTAAAGGTAAAGGTCGAAAAATAAGTTGAAAATTTGAAGGCAATTCCTAAGTGAAGAAAAAGAGTGGTCTAGGGAATATTTCAAGCATCACACACTTGAGCCCCGCTCTGATCATACACTTAAGTATGTGATGGAGGTTGAATTCTAGGTCGTTGTAACTAAAATTCCTCCAATCAAACTAAATTTTTAACCAAACCTACACCTAGTAATAGGGCAAGCTCGGGTCGAATCACTAGGAATGGGGGAAATTTTGCAACGGCCAAGTCAAGCTCTTTCGAAACGTAAGAGGTAGTGTAGGTTATCTAAATTTAACTAAACAACAAATTAAATCACAAAGTAAATCGATATATCAAAACACTAGAGATTTAGGGTCCACATATACTTGCAATGAACATACACTAATCGGGTTGGAGATTGATTAATTCGAGTATATAGAGGGAAGATAGAGAATGCAATCAAAAGAGTTCGACAAGCTATCTCCTAGAGGTCTAACTAGCACCAACTACGAAAGACTCTAACTAGGAACGTCACTAACCAAGCTTAATTGAAAAATGCGAGCTACAAATCAATGGTCCGTATCAATGTAGACACACAATGTAATCTAGCATGATGAAGAACAAGGTTGATCACTCCTTCTAATCCATACACATGCACAAAATCAATCAACCAATTTAATCACAATGTTAAATAAATAAAAAATCCCCCCAATTAGCTATGATCCATCACTAATACATGCTTTACCACATCCCTAGCAAGCAAACTATTCTCAATCCATTAAAGAAATCAAGAGAAAAGCTATACAATTCAACAAATTCATCAACATCATTCCATCAAAATAATGCAATCAAACAATCAATAAACTTAAAAAATCGACAAAACAATTGAAATAAAAAGCTAAAGATTGAATTAAAGTAAAGAAGATTCTTACAAAATTGATCAAATCAAGGAAATATGCTTGAAATCAAAACCAATTGTAACTATCATAAATCATCAACCATCAATCTTCAAGTTTCTCTCTCTACAAATCTAAAACCTAGAGTTTCTCTCTCTAAGAAAATCAAACCTAATTCTAATTCTATGCTCTCTCCCTCTAAAAATGAAGAGAAAAATATAAATAGTAAAACTAACAAAGGAGAAAGTAGTTAGTCGTCCGAAAAAAACACGTACAGGCGCGACCTTCACTTTTAAGGTATGAGGCCGGAAAGAAAAGGGTACGGAACAGGGGGAGCAACAGGCCCGGCCGCACCAAAGCACCGTGCGCCCCACGCCACTTGGCCGCGCGGATGGGCCATAGTCACGCGCGCCCGCGCTTGGGAATAGGACAAATCTCTTTCCCTTCATCTTGACGCTCCTCGTGCTCCACTTGGTGTGCTTGATGAACACGAAGCATGGCAGTTTCTAAAACACCTTGATAGTGGGTTCAACACTAGAATTTGTGCCCTCACGGTATGAATGCAATTTCTAAGGAAGCTCAAAACTTGCACATCTCCAATCTTGGGCTTCAAATGGAAGACACTAAGCATCCCAATCAATGTAAAGCCCGAGAAGAGACCACAAGAACGATCTTCTCCTGAAAAATAAAACAAAACAAACAAATAAAGGGGAAAAAGGTGAAATAATCCAAGACATACATGAAAATAGAAAATCTACTAAGGAAAATGAAAATTAAAGAAATAAAGAGAAAAATTAAAGAAAAGGGAATGAAAAGAGCTACAAAAGAGAATGAAATTCACCCTAAAAGGGATCAAATGAGTGCAATGACACTCATCAAATTCCCCCAAGCTAAACTTTTGCTCGTCCTCGAGCAAAACCAAGAAAGCAAGAATAAGGGTGAAAGACTTATTCAAATAAGAAATGGAAAGACAAGAGATGAGAATACACACTAAGACTCATATTGTAGGAATCACGGTTGTTTTTAGCTACAACAAGCCCTTTAAACCCTTAAATCTCTCTAGAGGACGAGTGATGGTCTCGTAAGGGTTTCCTAAGAGGTTTACCCATAACTCTTTGAAGTAAAATGAGGCAAAATCATTAAAAGAAAGGAAGGTAAATCAAAATTTCAAACAAATAGCTCTTGACAAGGACTTTTGCAAATGATCAAATGTAAGTGAATAAACGCTTTTCTATATGATAGGGGTATGCATGATCCAAGATATCTAAGGTTCATTGAAGCATAAGATATGCTAAGCGTACATAACTAATGAGGCACAATCCACTTTCATCTCGACCAATCTAACCGCGTTCTCCTAATGGCTTCAAATCTACCTTTAGTGAACGTCTTAATGGTTCCTCGAAGGAACCGAAAAAGAAAGAAGTTTTAGGCTACTCGACATCTCGGCTATTACATACCGCTCTATAAGCTTGACCTACATCTCCCTCCACCGACTAGTAACTCAACCACAAAGGTCAAAAGGTCTTGGAAAGGGTTGTAATGTAAAGGCGAGAAGGGTGAGGGTAGGCTAAAATTTTAAATTTGATGGTATACCTAAGTCGTGAAGGAAAGATTGGCCAAATCTTAACACCAAAACAAAGTAATCACCAAACAAAAACACAAAACCCCAAGCTTATTCAAATCTAAGAATCACAAACATAAGTATAAAAAGCATAACAACGCTTCCCCCAAGCCAAAATAAAGCATTGTCCTCAATGCGTAAAATAAAGAGAAGAAAACTTACTGTATGGAATATTTCAAGAATCCCACACTTAAGCCCCACTGGGATCATACACTTAAGCATGGTGGCATCCAAAGGGAAGGAAGCTAGATTAAAAGAGTCGCCAACAAGTTTAAGGAACTTGTAAATCGTTCACAAGGTGAAGGTTACACCCTTTCAGGATCCATGAGATCGCTAACTCCATAGTGGTCTAGAACCATGACTGGATATTCAGGGATGAAGGTACAAATCCAACCTAAAACAGATTGAACCTGCCTTAAATATACGCCTCTACTTTATTTTTATCATATTCATGTGTTCTTTCTGAGTAACATGCAATCAATAGGTTAACCCTAAACCTATTTAATCTATGTTGGTTGAATATTAATGCACAAAAAAGTCTATTATTGGCGATCACTTGAATTATAATCAAATTAGCCTAAACAAGATTATTAATTATCCTATTAAACGTGATTACGAGTACAACTTCTCTTTAAAGATGCCCAAAAGATGTGATCAAGCAATAACAATGACAATATATCAAGCAACATAACAACAATCATCATCATCATCATCATTATAATCTCAATAAAGCGTAATAATATTAGCATGATCCTAGGCATGATACTAACAAGATTAATAACAAACCCTAGCATGTCACTACACAATAAAGATTAAAGCTTTATCCCTAACATGATACTAACATGATAGAAGAAATAGGAAGTAACATAAACATGAATACTATAAAGCAATAAATAACATCATAACATGATACTAAGAATTAACATAATCTAAGCATGCTTTGTATATCAAAAGAATAACAAAGTAATTACTTACTTGGATGCCTCGTATCTCTTTCTAATAACAAAATACACATGTTAGTATCTTCAAGGAAAATAATAAATAAAATAATTAAATTAAATGATTGAAATAGGAATTTGAGACCAAACCCTCAGAAATTATCAACCTTTAACGTCTAAGGCGTAAGCAACTTCGAACTTGGCTAGGTGTATCTAGAACTTGTGAATGCAGAATTTTGTATTTTGTAAAAAGGTGTAGAATGGCTTAAAAAGAGGGTAGAAAGAATAAGCTTCTAGCTTAAAAAGAGGGAAGAGAATAAAATTAGATGGTTGTTGATTCTGAATGAATGAAAGCAAGGAAATACGACCCCTATTTATAGAGACACTACAAGGAAAAAGCCTTTGGGCAACAAAAGAATTCGTCGCCCAAGCCTCAATTGTCGTCGCCCAAAGCATTGTGCAACAACTAGGAAGTCGTCGTGGGCTCGTTGCCCAAGGTCGACGCCCTTACAGTTTTGGACGACGACTTCATATGGCGTTGCCCATATATAAGTTAGGGCGACGGTGACATGCATTGCACATAATACTGTTTCAACTACGAGTTTTGATTTTGTTGCCTATAATAAGTGCCTTTATGTGCGACGATTGTGTGCTTCGTCGCCCATAATTACTTTTGGGTGACGATGTATATTGTTGCCCAATTTTCTTTTGGGCTACGAACGAGTGTTATTGTCACCAAAAAAGGCTGATTTGCAGTTTGTTAGAATATTATGGGAAAAAATATTATTGTCGCCCAAAACTATTTGGGGCAACAAACTGTCGTTTGTGTTGCCCAAACATACCGTGTAGCGCCAAATATATAGATAGGGGCAACAATATTGTTGTCACCCAATGTGATTTTGGGAAACCAAATTACATCTATGTTGCCCATATAGTCAGTATAATGCTAATTTCAAATTCTAATTGTAATGTGCATTACTTTTTGGTTACCATAAGACAATTTGGGGCAAAAATTGATATTTATTTTATTGTCCTATCGTTCTTGTAACTGAATTTCTCCAACCTGTTTTCACTTCACAATAATAATACTTGTACCCTAGTCCTGTATAATTACATTTCAAAGATAACTAATATGACAACTTTAAGAATTTTAATATGGCAATCATATTATAAATTAATTATTTCTCAAAATACAAGGAAAAAGCCTTTGGGAAAATACATTGGAAAATTATCGTAGTTAAACCCTATCTAATATTCATGATACCACTATTATATCCAAAATGCACAGGACATCCTCGATTTGTTAAGGAAAAACATCATGCTCCCTTGTTCCTGTAAGGTAATAAGACAAAAATAGGCATCAATACTTACAAAAAAAAATGTTACTACATTCCCATTAGTAGAGAGGAGTTCAAAGTTTCCAAACAATATATTTGGTTATCAAAACAAATTTTCCCCAAATTTAAAAATAAACAAAAGGAGCAAACTATTGGGAATAATGTATAATCATACCGCCACCTCCATTATCCTACACAAGTTTCCCACCAACACACTCCCTATCATCACCATTAAAAACAATTCATAGTTTCATACAATTACCAACAACATATGGTCATATAATCATACTATATACTGTAACAGAATTCTAGAGACAGAATCAGTGCATAGTATTAGTAGGACTTGATTCAAGCCCGGAAAGAAAGAAGAAGAATATTACCTCATTTCCTCAAAACATTTTTAGCATATCTTCTCTTAGTTTCTTTTCACGTTCAATGGCTTCCTTATTCATTCGAGAAAATTCTGCTTTGAGCTCCTCATTTGATGCTTTTAATTGTTCATTCGATGCTCTAAGCTCTTTATTTGATGCACTAAGTGTGTGAACTTGAGTAGCAAGTTGAACCCTTTCCATATCATCTCCTTGGGCTCTAACTTTGCAGGTGGTCGAGCTCCAAGACCAAGTCCTCTCCCATATCCAGATTTAGGTTTTAACACTTTCATATAAGCATCTTTTACACTGAGTGTGTCCTCGCCATCTTCTGCAATTTCAGTTTCATGAAGTCTTTTGAGTTCTTCATAGTTCTTTTCAGCATTTGGCTCCCAAGTAGTAGTCCCATCCTTTTTGTTATGCCTATTCAATTAAATAACCCCAAAAACATTACTGCATTATCAGGACTTTTCTAATGGAACACAAACAATATACAAATTAAAGCATTTGGTTTTATGCTAATTTCAGTCCTAATATAAGCACATATCAAGTATCAAGAGGTCAAACAACAAAGACTAAATGTCCTTTCGAGTCTAAATAAAGAAAAGAAGTCAAACAACCACATATTAGGAAGAGAGCATGAAGTAAATAAAGTACTTAAAGCTTAGAACACATGTTGTCAAAAGATTCTAAACTCAAAAGAGTGCTTCATTATCCGATAAATTCAACATTCTGAAGGACCTAATCCTGTGCAAAAAGTTAGTCTTCCCCCCTTTCTGTCAATTGTTTTCATGGTAAATAATTATCTATTTCTCAATCTGATTCCCAATTTAGCTGTGAAAACACATTATAAAATATTAATAAAATTTTTTTTAAAAAAATAAGGCCATCAAATTATACAGTAATGAGTGCGTAGGGGTCAATAAGAAGAGATTGTTTCAAATCCTGTTTGAGTATCCCAAGACAATGCCCAAACACAAGCATAAACCAAGTTATGATTGACACAGATACACTTTTGGCAGAAATATAATACAAACTAAAATCTGGACTCAGAAATTAAAAGATTATAAAATAAGGTCTAACCTCTTGATCACTTTTCCAATGGAACACAAACAATATACAAAGCAGTTGGTTTTATGCTAATTTCAGTCCTAATTTCAGTCCTGATATAATACAAATGCATAGTGAAATAAAGGCATCAGTTGTATAAAAATATCAGACTTGTTGCCAAGGGGTGGAAAATCAGTATGCATCACCAGGTATTAAAACAATATACAAAGCAGTTTGTTTTATGCTAATTTCAGTCCTAATTTCAGTCCTGATATAATACAAATGCATATGTATAAAAATATAAGACTTGTTGCCAAGGGGTGGAAAATCAGTATGCATCACCAGGTATTAAAACAATCCTTAAAAAAATGTTCATTGCGCTCTGTTAAAAAATAATTGAATAAACATACTTTTTGGTCTTCTCATATAATCTCACGTAGATGGGATCTTGTTGTTGTTGTACTTCAGCATGTTCGGATGGCTCTTCATCTTGAGTGGAGACATTTGGTGGCTCATTAAGCTGCATATGAAAAAATAAATGAATATCCAAATGAATAATGTTTAATTAATATAGTTTTGTAATTGAAAAGCCAAAAAACCACACCAGATCAAAGAATATTCGTGCTGTAGACTTTGCTCCATTGGCCGGTGTTTCAGTCAACTTTAGTTTATTTGCAGTGTTTACTTTGCTAATGGCCTATAAGTTGAACAAGTTAGTCAATGTAACATAATAGCAACGATATTGAATAAATTAGAAATTAATTGTATGAAAAGGTGTAGCACGTTACCATCCAAAAAAAGGGGGGGGGGGGCACATTACCGCTTGTTTTGGGGAACTCCAATACTCATAAACCAACCAATCCCATTGTGTCGGATCAATAGTTGGAGGTCTATTTTCTCTAGCCTATGCCTTAGTTTTGCCTCCATAGTATTTTTCCTTTAGTCTAAACCTCCAATGCCTATATAGGATAGAGCATTGAAAGCTCAATGCATCAATCGCGTCAGCACCACCAACCTTTTCATGTAAAATTGTATTTTCCCTAGTAAATCATCATTTAAAATACAACACACAAAATATATAGTTAGTAAACTTATCTAATAATATAAAACTTCAACAATTATGTTACATAAAACTCTAACTCACCAAAATCTTGTCATACAAACTTTGCTTTGCAGAAGAATCCATTTTAGCCCAATTTCTGCCAACAAAATAAATAAAAATCATAAATCACATAGATGTGCTCATTAAAACATGTATGTTAGATAAGTGAAATTAATTTTAGCAAGCTTAGACATACAATGCATCTAAAGGACAAAACTCTTCGACCCAATTGCTACAATCACATATGAACTCATTTGCCTTTTCACCAACCACAGGTCGAAGCTCATCCATGAAAGTTATTATAATTTTTTCGTCTAGATTTTTTGTCCTTTTAGAAGCATATTTTAAGCCCCTGGTAAGACCACGCCTCTTACGATCTGGATATTTTTTTCCAAGCTCAGCTTGGTCAATCCTTCGCTGCTCACGATAAGTCAACCTTGGTGGTGGTTGTTGAATCTCATTTTCTTGTTGATTTTGCTCCAATGATGTTGGTATGATTGACATTTTCCTACAAAAAATTCATGTCAAATGTATTCAACGTAAATAAATTAATTGTAGAAGAAATCATTTGAATAAGAAAAGATAGGTAATTAAAAATTAGTATGCTTACTAGTTTTGATAATAAATTTAACTACGATATAAATATGTATACATATATTTAAATAAACAAATTAAAAGACAAATATATCAGCACTAACACTCTAATCATGCATATTATTAATCAATTTATAGTGAATAATGAAAAACAATAAATAAATAAAAAGCAATAAGGAGTTGTTTAGATAGTTTCAACTTTATATAGTTTCTTCCCTCTTAGGGCTTTGCTTTAAAAAAACAAGAAAAAAAAACTGTTTAGATAGTATTAACTATATAAATGAAATTACTGAATCTTTATATTTATGAATTGTGATGCCTTCCTGCTTCCAATCAACTCTTCAATCATTGTAAAGCAGCCATAATGATACTAATTAATCATTAAAATAATAATTGTATAGAAACAAAATTCTACTTACTAGTATATATATCTTATAAATTAATACCAGTTTTAATGCACCAACTACGTTATTCAATAGAACTATCACTTTCATATTCATCGTCTTTAAGATCGCCATCAAGCGCATGCAAAGTAGATTCCATATCAGAGAGCTCCTCCTCCTCCTCCTCCTCATCCTCATTAATAAAATCATTTCCTTGGTTGATGTCAGCGTGTACAACTTCAAATTCAACATCAATTCTAACTAAATTAATGTCTTCATCATCTCTATCTTCATAGTTAGTTACTGGTGGTGCCACATGATCCCACAATGATTCATTTTCAAAAGTATCTTCATCATTAGGGAAATCAAAGAAGTTTCGTGGATTTGCCTTGATTACATAACTCCAATTTGGTTCATTATGAGCGGGTACATAGAAAACTTGCTTAATTTGAGAAGCTAAAGCAAATGACTCATTAGTTTTTAGCTTTCGAGTGACATTGATGAGCACTGCTTCTAAATTGTCTTTTTTAATCCCTCTCCCCTCACTAAACACATCAAACCACTTGCATTTAAACAGAACAACTTTGGGACTTGTTCGATTTTTTAAGGCACCATACTCTAGCACAATAACCTCCTCTAAAATCCCATAAAAAATAATTTCTCCACTTTCATAGTCGCCTTTCACAACTACACCACTATTTTGAGTTTTATGATTTCTTTGCCTTTTTTTGGAGTGAAATCTAAACCCATTAATGACATATCCATCAAAAGTCACAACACGTTTCATAGGTCCTCGTGCTAAACACAATAACTCTTCTGTAATCCGTTCATCCCCAACTTTCCAAAGCTTAACAATCTGTTATTCACATGTAATAAGACAACAATAAAGAAAAGGAGAAAAAATATAATAGGAAAAAAGAAGTACGCGCTTACTTACCCTATTTTTAAACCACTTGCAAAAGTCAATCTTCGAAAGACTCCTATCATTTTCATACTCACTAAACATAGAAATTAAAGTATTAATTAGTCTACTATATATATATTTTTTAATATTTTTTTACATCACTTGAAATAACTTACTCTAGAAAAGGTTGTGCTTCATCACAATTTTTTAGAACATATAATTGAGCTTAGCTTCGTTCCATTCTTCAAAATTCAACTGCTTTAGATTTGTCTTCCCTAAAGACTTGCCCATTATAGAGAAAACCGACATGCTATGGGGTTGTTGATGGTCAATGTCGTCATTTCGATCTAGACGGTTAAATTGTGTCTCAATCTTAGACATATATCTAGAGCAAAATGTCAGACATTCCATTTCAATGTACCCATTAGCAATTGAAGCTTCGGGGTGAGCTTTGTTTCGAACATATGATTTAAATGTCCTCATTACCCTTAAAAAAAAGTATTGTTATAATGTATGTATTTATATATGTAGGTAATTAAAAACTACCATTACCAGTTACTTACCTTTCAAAGCAATACATCCACTGATAATGCACAGGGCTAGCCATCCTAGCTTTAGTGGCTAAGTGCATTGGAAGATGTATCATCACATCAAAAAACGCAGGAACAAATATACGTTCTAACTTCCACAAGGTGAGTGCAATGTTTGATTCCATTTGCTTTAAGTCGGGAACCTTCAAAGTTTTTGAGCATAATTGCTTAAAAAATGAATTGAGCTCCCTTAAAGGTTCCAAAACCTTCTCATGTATGACACCCTTAAAGGCAGGCGTGAGCAAATCTTGCATGAAAACATGGTAATCATGAGTTTTCTTTCCCATGATCTTTCCATCTTGCAAAGAAGTACACCGCGATATATTTGAAGCATAAGCATCTGGAAAAACCAGTAGACAGAAAGGTAACTATTTTCCTCCGTTCATTCAAAGTTAGGTTGTAAGATGCTGGAGGGATTTTCCACTTTTTATCTCCTAAAGATGTTGCACATAGCTGACTATGCATCTTCATACTATCTAAATTCAATCGAGCATTTAAGGTTTCTTTGTTCTTTCCTGATAAATCAAGTAGTGTGCCTAATATGCTTTCACATACATTTTTTTCAGTATGCAAAACATCTAAGTTATGTCGCACTAAAAGATGCCTCCAATATGGAGGTTGAAAGAAACAACTTTCCTTCTTCCACTGATGCACGATGTACTGTTCGCCTTTTTTCGTTTTTTAGTAACACCTTTTCCAAACTCCACATTTGAATAGCCACTTAATTGTTCTAAAACATCATGTCCTGTAAGTGGAGTAGGAGGAGGACCCCGTTTGACTTTCCCACCAAATGCACTCCTATTACGTCTCCATTTGTGCTCTGGCTCTAAAAACACTCGATTATCCATATAACAATATTTGTGCCAATGTTTTAACCAAAATGATCGTGTATCTTTATGACAATAAGGACATGCAAGTTTCCCTTTAGTGCTCCAACCAGAAAGATTAGCATAAGATGGAAAGTCACTAATAGTCCACATCAACACTGCTCGCATATTAAAAGTGTGCTTGGTATGAGCATCAAAAGTTTTCACTCCTATCTCCCACAATTCTTTAAGTTGATTTAGGACCAGGAATTAGCAAAGATAAGATCATGTTGTCACTTTTCATGCACATCCAAGGAGGTAAATTATATGGCACTAACATCACTGGCCAAATGCTATATCTTCTGCTCATGTTAGCCTCGGGATTAAATCCATCACTTGCTAAACCCAAGCGTATATTACGAGCATCAGCATCAAATTCTGGACATAGGTTATCCAATGACTTCCATGCTTCTGAATCAGCTGAGTGCCTCATTACCTCATCATTTGGGCGTTCATCCTTATGCCATCGCATATGCTTTGCTAATTTTGAGGACACAAACATTCTTTGCAACCTTGGAATAAGAGGAAAATGACGTAAAACTAATTGAGGAATTCGAGTTTTTTTTCCAGCAACACCTTCGTCACCTTCATCCCCTGTAGATACATCACCACCTTGCACAACTTTGTCCTTTCATCTAGGAACCAAGCATTTAGGGCACTTTTCTTCATTTGCAAACTCCTTTCGAAACAAAATGCAATGGTTTACACAAGCATCAATCTTTATATAATCTAATCCTAGTGCTTTTGTATATTTTTTTGATTCATAAGAATTTGCTGGAAACTTTTTATCATGATTAAATGCCCTATGCAATGCACTCAATAACATTGAAAAAGACTTATCACTCCACTTGTTACTAACTTTGATGTGTAGTAATGTGACAAGAAACTCCAATCTCTTAAAGGTCTTGCACCCTGAATACAACTCGGACTCTATATCATCAAGTAACGTCATGAACTCCTTATTAGGGGTTTCATCATTGCAACTACTAGAACCAAACTCCATGGTGTTACCACTATCAATGGGAACTTCAGAAGTTGTAGTATTATTATTCCGTGCATTTGTTGCATCAAAAACTAAAGGAGCCATTTCATCAAAAGGCATTTCATCCTCTTCGTCGTCTGAGACCTCTATTGTGTTCTCATCATTTTCATTATTATCATCTTGTTTATCATTTTCTCCGTGACTCACCCATGGGTTATAACTATTGTCTATACCATATACTAGTAAGTGACATTGCATAGTTTCTGATCTTGGGCCATCATTAATCAACAGTTCAAAAACAGACATTTTACTAATGTACTGTCATTTTTTTCTTTAAAAGCAAATTCTAAAAACTCATCAACCCCTTCTCTATACTCTGGTTTTTGCCTATCCTTTATACCATTGTGGTTCATCCAAGTTTGATCTCTATTCATTCTTGAAATGAAAATAAAAGAAAAACTTTAACAAATTGAATGTAAGAAAATTAAATGGTCAAGTACACAGCTAATCAATTATATGATTATGTCACATAAGTGTTATGGATCACCATAGTCCGATCCCCTAACTGGATTATTACCCATGTTTATCCAAACAATCAAATTAAAATTAATGAAAGCTTTTAAAACAGAATTAATGAACAACCTAAAAGGACATTTGTGGGGCACCATATATCCAAATTATACCTTTGCTAACCTTTTAAAAGGAGGATAAAAATCAACAGAAACAATTAGGACCAAAAAATTCACCGAATTCTGGTTTTAAAATCAATGAAAATTTTGTAATTCAATACATCATGATTAATCTACAAAACCAATAATACAAGGATAATTCACAGAAATTATAAATTAAAAACCATAATTCAAGAGATAACAAATAATTAGTAACTACATAAAACCTTCATCTACTTGTATTCGTATATATTGATCAAAATAATATACTAAATTTCATAAATAATGAACAAAGCTTGTTGTACGTGCAATAGTAGGAAGATAGCTACTTGATATGATTATGCATGCTAATAATAAAACTTGCATAAATTAATGCACTATGGTGGAAAGTATTATATTCTTTGTAAAACAAGGCATATTCCTTCCAGAGACCCGAGACTTCAGAGCCAAAAGCAAGAATCAAGGTTGTTTACTACTCCGTAGTAAGTATATATGACTAAGAATCAAGGTTGTTTCCTGATGATATGTTTGTAATATCGTACTTTTAATTTGTTGGCTTTCCCTGCCTCTCTTAGTCATGTTTCTGGGGTTTATTCAGAATGTTGTTTAAATCAAAGTTGTAACTTGCTTTGCATTTTTTTTTTGTCTGTTTATTAGTCTACATTTGAGTGCCCCTGGTTTGTCCTCCCTTTTTTTAATTTCCTATCATTAATTCTTCTTAAGAATTCTCTCTATACTGGGTGAAACTTGTGAAAGGCAGTAATATTGTTTGGCTTTTATGGTTCTAATACAGTAGTTTGTCATTTTTAGTAATCAGGGAATAACTAAGATTATGTATTGCACCAATTGCTTCATATGAACTTCAAGAAATAATGAACAAATTACAACTACGTTATACAAAGCAACTACTACTATTACATCACATTTATACGAATTCAATTACTCTATTTTAGCCCAACCATACAAAACACCCACAACTATAAAGAGTATACAAAAACCCAAAATTCATCATCTTCAACCGAAAAAAAAAATCGAAATTAAACACTAATAAAATGGAGCAACAAATATATTAGAGCTTTTAAAGGGAAGATCAAGCGACAAATTTCGTTTAAATAATAATATCACAAGTTATTAAATTGATTTAATTGGGTATTGAATGAATTTTTTGATTGAAAATTTTGGGTTTTTTTGTTGAAAGAGAGGAGAACGAAATGCATAAAAGAGAGAGGATGGTTGAATGAAGTTGAATTTAGCAACCAATGAAGGGTCTTCAGGACAATCAAACTCGGGTTATATAGCATCTCCGTCGATAATACATGATCAAGTCATTACCAGATCAGTTTATGATCGTTTAAATTTATACTTCAAAATTTAAAGTTCCCTAAATTATATGTCAGATTAGTTTTCGTTAATTGAGTTAAGTTGGTTCAAATTCAATCAGATTCATTCATACCAAAGCCAATTCCAGTCACTACAAGTTCACATCATAATCAAACTTTGGATCAGATTCTAATCAAGTTCGAATCAATCCAATTTCCAAAATTCAAACACAAATCCAATTCAATTTCACAAATCAAACAAAAAAAAAACTAAAAACTACGAATTTATATAAATTCAGACTCCAATTCTCCAACCAACAACAAAAGAAAAAATACAATCATAAACATTCAACTCATAAACAATTATTCAAAACCCTAAATTAAATCACAAAATCTAAGAAATCATGAGAATCCGACAAACCTGAGCAACAGCAGAGGAAGGGGTGATGTAATTGAAAGAGGATTGAACAGCGCCGGAATCACCGGAACTAAGGGCGGTTTGAACGAATTTCCTCTGAAGATCGAAGGTGGAATCGGCGAGAGAGGTTGGGTAACCAACCTGCGGCCTCTCTGCCGTCAATGCCTCAACCTTAAACTCGTAGTTACCGCTGTTGATTGCTTTGAATTTGAACCGCCCGTCACTGCTACCTCACATACATATTCAATAAGTTAGGGTTTATGGCTGAATTTACGGATGAATTAGCAAAAGAAATACTGAATTTCACAAAGCAATGCAAAAATAGAGAACGGAAGAACTACCTCTTCAATGGCTGCTTTCGTTTTGATCAGAGCAAAGAGAAGGGAATTTTTTTTTTTTTTTTGTTGAACGGCTGAGAAGGGAAATTGGTTTGATTGTGGGTAAAGGGTGAATTCTTTAAGCAGTAGAGCAGTACTGAAATATTTCGATCATCACTATTCTTATGAATTTTTTTGGGGGGAATTTCAATGAAAGCGGTATATTTGTCCGCCAAATTTTTAGTGGGATTTGGGCAACCAAATAAAATACCACTCAGCTTAATTTAATAAAAATAGACAACGAAATAAGTTATTTGTGGCCCAACTATGATAATAGGCAACCAAGTTATATTTCGTGGCCCAAAAAAATAATTAAAGGGCTACACATCCCATGTTTCGTTGCACATATATCTGTATAGGGCAACAAAGACATAACTTGTTGCCCATAATTTTTTTTTTGGGCAACACATTTAATCTCGTCGCACAAAATATCAACAATGTGCAACGAAAGGAAATTTCGTTGCCCTTATTAAACGCAACCGTCGCCCAAAAAGCTTTTTCTTGTAGTGAGAAAATAGTCCGAAAACGATAGAAAAGTGTTAGAATTCGAATTGGAGTAAAATTGGTTCTGGCGCAGAGCTGTTGCGCGCAACAGTGTCTGTCGCAAAATGATAGGGATCATGCATGGCGACAGGCTCTATCGTTTGACGACAAGGCTGTCGTTTGGCGCTAGGACAATTTTCTGCTAGAACACAACAAGAGAAATAAGGTAAGAAAATGGAGAAAGAGAGAGAAAGAAAACGGTGCGCTTAAAAGAAGGGGGCAGTAGGGGGGGCGCCCGCGCGGCTGGGCGGTGCACTCACGCCATGGTCGTGCACGCCCGCGCCCTCCCATGTCTTTTGCTCCCTGGAAACTCTCTTGTGCACACATTGGTGGACACAAGATACATGCTCATGATGTACTAGGCAGTCGCTAAACAGCTTGACGGTGGGTTGAACACCACATTTTCATGAACCCATCCAGCTTTAATTCTTATTAATGCCACCAAGTACTTAAATTTAACACTTCATCCTCAAATTTGGTACAAAAATTGTTGGAAACCTTATTTCTATTTAATCAAAAACAACCTAAAACACAATCAAGAAAGAAAATCAATTAGATTAAAAGCATCAAAAAGGAAAAATAAAATCAAAGAAAATAGAAAAGAAAGTTAGAAATTCGGGTTGCCTCCCGAGAAGCGCTTGTTATACTCATTAGCTTGACATTCGCCACCCTTCAAGGTTGGTCATAGAGGTCATATCATGAATGACTCCGGCGAAAAATCCATCATAGTAACGCTTGAGTCTATGGCCATTGACTTTGAAAGACTTTGAGAAACCCAAAGGAGAGACTTTTATAGCCCCGTTGGGGAAAACCTTTTGAACCACAAAAGGACCACTGGAACGAGACAATAACTTTCCGGGAAATAATCTCATCCTTGAATTGTAAAGGAGCTCCTTATCACCAAATCCTTATTCTCAATAAGCTTATCATGCACCTCCTTTGTACAAGATTTGTACATGCTTGCACAATCATATGCATCGAAATGAAGTTCTTCCAACTCATGGAGATCAAGCCAACGTTGCTCAGCCACACTTGCCAAATCAAAATTGATTTTCTTAATAGCCCAATGAGTACAATGCTCAAGCTCAACCGGAAGATGACAAGACTTCCCATAAACCAACCGGTAAGGAGTGGTGCCAATAGGAGTCTTAAAGGCCGTTCTATATGCCCATAAAGCATTATCAAGATTGTCCGACCAATCTTTCCTATTTCTTGCAACCGTCTTCTCAAGAATCAATTTGATTAGATGATTAGACTCCTCAGCTTGTCTACTAGTTTGAGGATGATAGGGAAGTCCAAAACGTTGATTAACTCCATACTTCTTTAACATCTTGCGCAAGGCACTATGCACAAAATGAGAACCATTATCACTTATGACCGCCTTGGCAATACCGAATCTTGGGAACATTATCTTCTTGAACCTCTTCGTTGCTACCTTATGATCGTTTGTTAGTGAAGCAATGGATTCAACCCATTTTGACACATAATCAACGGCAACACGTATATATTGATTCCCATATGAGGAAGGGAAAGGACCCATGAAACCCCATGCATCAAAAACTTCCAACTCTAGGATGGGTTGTTGGGGCATCTCATTACTCATTGAAATATTTCCGGTTATTTGGCACTGGTCACAACTCTTGACAAATGCTCAAGTATTCTTGAAGAGATTTGGCCACCACAATCCACATTGAAGTACCTTGGAAGCCGTCCTAGGAACACCCATGTGACCACCACTAGGATCCGAGTGGCACATCTTCAACACACTAGGAATCTCCTTAGTTGGCGCACATCGACGCAACAAACCATCAACACCTCTCTTGTACAAGATTGGTTCATCCTACACATAATGCCTAGCCTCCCTCTTAAGCTTCTTTCTTTGATTCTTAGTAAATGAAGGAGGAAACTCCCCACAAGCAAGATAATTAACCAAATCGGAAAACCATGGGAGTTCCTTCATATCTATAGCTTACAAAGAATCATCCAACATTCTATCTTCAATAGGAGACCCATCGTCTTGAACTTGAAAATCCTCAAGTCTAGATAAATGATCCGCAACCACATTTTCCGTTCGTTTCTTATCTCTAATTTCAAGGACAAAAGTTTGAAGCTCAAGAACCCAACAAATCAACCTTGGCTTTGATTCCTTCTTCCCAAAAAGAGAATTTAGGGTCGCAGGATCGGTGAAAATAATTGTCTTGGACCCTAACAAATAGCAACGAAAATTTCAAAATCATGAACAATTGCCATGAACTCCTTATACGTTGTTGTAACTACAAAAAAATGAGAATAGGCTACACTTAAGATTGCAACACTTACAGAAAAAGTAATCTCTTAATAATCTAATGCAACAATATTTTTTTGTTACCATGAACTAAAGTAACAAAAAAAATGTTGCTCTAGACTATATAAGGCAACAGTCACTTAAAGTGTTACCTTTTTCTTGTCTATGACAAAAAACATAATAATTATTGCATGAAAAGATAACAATAACAAAACTATTGTTTGAAAATGTAACATTAATATCTATGTTGCGATCTATGGCAACATTTTTATTAACAAGACAACATAATATATATATATATATAGTTCGGTGGAGTTGGTGGAGAACTCACTTTATGACTTTAAGGTCCCAAGTTCGAACCCTACTAAATGCTTGGGAGTGGCAATATTTAGAAACATTTTTGAATTATCTCCTTAGATGGCAACTTTTTTTATTTTTTGTCTTTGTAAAAGTGTTGCCTTATGTATCATTTTTCCTTGGCTTTCAAAATTGTTGCATTTGAATAAAAATGTGTTGCCTTATGAATAGACAACGGGGACATATATTACTCCTTATATGTGTTGCCTTAGCTACAAGGCAACACTTTTTTTATATTAGGCAATGGTTTTGCACTGTTACCTTTGCTTTATTTTGTTTTAGATATGTAGTTCCTTTAAGCACCATTAAGAGTCTTCGACATGTAATAGATGACATGAAGCTTCTTATCAACTCTTTGACCTAATACACCCCCAATGACCGTAACACAAGCATCACACATCAATTTAAAAGGCAAATCCCACCTACGGGCTTGGACAATGGGAGTAGTGATCAAAGCTTTCTTCAATTTGTTGAATGCATCCAAACATTTGTTATCAAACACAAACTCAACATCCTTTTGAAGAAGATCATTGAGAGGCTTCGATATGAGGGAAAAGTCTTTGATATCTATAAAACCCGACATGTCCCAAGAATGATCTCACACCTTTCACATTAACCGGAGGTGGCAACTTCTCAATAACCTTAATATTTGCCTTGTCTACCTCTATGCCTTTGTGAAAAATCTTATGCCCAAGGACTATGCCTTCCTCAACCATAAAGTGACACTTCTCCCAATTAAATACCAAATTTACCTTCTCACACCTAGCCAAACATTTCTCAAGATTTTCAAGGCATGTCTCAAAGGAACTCCGTCTAAGGAGAATTCATCCATAAATACTTCCATATCCTCTTCCAACATATCCCCAAAGATACTCATCATACATCATTGAAATGTTTCGGGAGCATTACAAAGTCCGAATGGCATTCTCCTATAAGCAAAGTTACCATATGGGCAAGTAAACGTAGTTTTCTCTTGGTCATCAGGGTGAATAGGGATTTGGAAAAACCCCGAAAAACCATCACAAAAACAATTATACTTGTGCCTTGTTAGTCTTTCTAGCATTTGATCAATGAAAGGAAGAGGAAAGTGAACTTTCTTGGTGGAAGTGTTTAGACGTATATAGTCTATACACATTTGCCAACCCGTGACCGTCCTCATCGGGATAAGCTCACCTTATTCATTTTTGACGATGGTCATGCCCCCCTTCTTTGGAACAACAAGAACGGGAGAGACCTACCTAGAGCTTGAGATGGGGAATAAAATTTCCACATCTACAAGCTTAGTAATCTCTTTCTTTCTTTACCTCCCCCATTTGGGGATATAGTTTCCGTTATCGCTCAATAGAAGGAAGACCACCCTCCTCAAGGGTTATGTGGTGCGTACATAAAGCAGGGCTTATACCCTTTAGGTCATCAATGGTATATCCCAAAGCACCTTGGTGCCTTCTTAAAACACCACATAACTCATGAGCTTGGCTCTTGCTCAAAGATACACTAACAATCACGAGATAAGTAGAACTTGGGCCTAAGAATTCATATCTAAGGTGTGATGTTAGAGGTTTGAGCTCTACTGTGGGAACACCTTTACCTTCTTTGGTTAAACCGCTTGCAAAACCTCTTTCCTTGAAATATTCATGCACATTATCTCATCACCTCCTTCCAAGATTTCATTAATGACTCGTTCAAGGAATGCCATTTCCTTGCCATGCTCACCTATCTTTTCTTTTTTCAACAAAACACACTGAAGAGGTTCATTAGAGGCGAGCAAGTGCTCATGCATGGAATTCACAATGTCATCTAAAATTTCGATTCTCATATAATTCTCTAATGTAGAAGAAGGGTATTGCATACTCTCATTCAAATCAAAATCAATATCTTCTTTCCCACCTTAAGAGAAATTTAAGCACTCTTGACATTAATCATAGCTCCTGATGTTGCAAGGAAGGGTCTACCAAGAATGATGGGATATTAGAATCTTCGTCATGTCAAGCACAACAAAATCTATCGGGATCACGAAATTTCCTACCCTTCAGGGAATATCTTCTACCTTACCTTTTGGGATTTTAATGGATCTATCGGCTAATTGTAAGGTTATGTTGGTAGGTGAGAGTTCTCCTAGGTCAAGTCTTTGATAGACCGAGTATGGCATAAGGCTAATGACGTAGGTAAAACGTAGGTCGTTATCTAATCTTCCCTAGAG